TAAAGAATTCCACTAAAAGCTAGTCAGTCTTTTAGAGCTGACTCAGCCTGAAATAAAAATATATATTTTAAATGTTTTTCACTTATTTTAACTCTTAAGTTTTTTGGGGGTTTTTTTGTTGTCATTGTTTAAAAACCCTAAACTACAGTTTGTTTTAAATTGAAAAATACATTTATTTTACGGCAATTAAAAAAAAGTGGGTATTTTCCTCCTCGCTCTCTGGGTCAACATCCACATCCTCCTCTATTCTCCAGAGATCAGAACTGATGCTTGGTACTGTTGGCCCAGTAAGAGGGGTTCTGGACGCCCCTCCTCTGCACAGAGTCAGACCTCTAAGTGGGGCTTGGTCCACTCTTCCTCTCTTTCCTCCTCTAAAACAAGTCATGATCACCCTCTTCATCAACAAAGTCCTCTAACTGACTCGGGCTGTTTTTCTCCTTCATGATCCTCTCTCCTCTGTCTGAGAGGTTCTGACTCTGCGGTTCCATTCTCCTCTGGGTCTTCAGCTCCTCCTTACGTTCAAAAACCATCTACCGGTAATTGTTTAGACTCAAACACACTAAAACTGACTAAACACACTAAACTACGCCCTAACTATAAAACTCAAAACACTCTTAATATCACAAATCTCTCATATGTCATGACTCACTCATGCTCTCGCTGTCTTAATCATTGCAAACTCCATTCAACTTCCATGTCTTTTTCTTCTTTTTCCTCTAGATGTTTTGGCTCTTAACAAATAACTTCGAGCCTCCATCAGAAAGGAAAGGGGGGGGGGGGGGGGTTGTTTATCTGTTCGGCGGGGGTGAGAGGTGAAAGTGGAGAGTGATGGGGGTGTTTTGTCCCTGAGACTGCTCATCTTTGCCTCAGCCTCTGACACTAACGCACTTCAGATATGATAATGATTTTCAGGGAAAGATGTGGTGTGGGATTGTTGATCATAACTCGGCTTTTACTTGGCCTATCTACACAACCCGAAGTCTGTACTTTTGACAAATTAAAATGGAGTTGCTGAGAGGCTGTGTCTTTCCCGCTAGAGCAACTGAAGTTTGGTCATGTGAATTATCACGTGCCGACGCGCCAGTTGACTTGGGGGGTGGGGGGATGTCAGATAGATTAGGCGGCACCTACTAGTGCTAGTAGGTGACACTTGAGTAGGCGACAAAATTGCCACCCCGCCGCCTGTAGCACAGTGACTTGTTTCCCACTCTGAAAACCATTTGTACAAGATTTTCCTATTGCCTTCACCTACATCACATAAAACCTGGACACCTCTATTCCTTGTTGTGAACACACAAATCTTAGCAGTATGAGGTGAAAATGGAGTCACCTTATTACTACCCCAAGTCTTAATCAGCAATATGACTTTATAATCAAAGGAGCTATATTGTGATTCCCACAAGTTAAAAAAGCTCTTAAAACTTGGTGTCTAGTCAGGTGTTGGTTCTCATTACAGTAATGAAAAACAAGTTTACACAAGCACACAATTTTAGGGGGCTCGCCTCCTTCGACCATCATATACAAGTGGCTGACAACTTGCATCCGCTGAAGAAAGATTGGGAAATGTTACTCTGCTGCTCACAAACTAGGAATTCCTGCACTTGGTCTTTGGCAAGTCATAAAATGCAGCTCATTTCGCAGACATCCTCACATAATGTACATTTAAATATAAAACTGGCTCATTTCTCTATGTTGTTGCTGCTGTCTGCTGAGACAGACGCAGAAGATGCATTTCTATATATCTGCTTATGATGTACATGAGTTCAATTTTTAATGTTTTTCATTATTTGGTATTGAAGAAATTTAATGGATAAATATTCAGTAGCATCTTCTGCTTGTTTTTTTTCTTTCTCCTGTTCTGAACTTGTCATTCCTGTGTAGCAACCACTATGGATTTGTCTCTCCTGGCTTGTTTGCTCCTGAGCAGTGTCTGCCCCCTGTCTGCCCCAGCAGGGCCAGGGTTAATACTGGGCGTCTCTCCAGTCCAACATGGAAAAGGCCACAGAGTAGTTGCCTCCCCCAGCCAGCCAACACATTGGCTGAAGCCGAGGGTGGATCTGGGGCTGCCGCGGCACTCCGGTGTGGATCGTGGACCGGAGCAGGATCGAGGAGGCCCTGGCTGCTCCGTTACGTGATGCCGAGCTTGTGGCACGTACACACGCAGCAGCCAGACGATAAGGGGAGGGCTGACTGAGGGCTGCGAATTTGTCTCTGTGAGACGGTTGTGTGCTGTGGTGGGTTTACGGCTCATAATAAAGAATAGAAGAGGAACGACCCCTGCATGAACTACCCCGCTTGGTTAAACAGTTTTTTTTCCCTGCATTAGTTATTGTTCCTCTCTGCAGTTGTAACCCTCCTGGCCCCCTCATTATTGCTCTTGTTTAACCACATATTCTCATCGTTTCTGCTCCCCCCTGTTTGCAATAACCCTGTCTGTCCTCTTCGCCTTTACTCAGGCAGGGCAATGGGCAGCTTTCCAGTGCAGAAAGAGGTGTGTGTGTGTGTGTGTGTGGGGGGGGGGGGGGGGCAGCTTTAGCCTTGGCAATGAAAGTTCTCATGATGTCCTCACAGAGGTGGCATTTTGCAAAGCCCAAAAGCCATTCCTGTATTTAACTTCAGTGCTTTGTAATAACATAAAGTACTCCTAATTAATCTGTAGTTCTGGCTGTTTGATTTTGAACTGAAATTTGACCATTTTTAATTTACAACGGAGGGTCTCCTTTTATTCAAAGCAGTAATTTTCCTCATACAAAGGGCCTCAAACAGCTTTACAATGTTTGTACTGTGTCATGTGACATATATGTTTTTGGATCTTTTGGTACCTGACACAACCCACAGTATAATGTGAAGCGTAGAATGAGACTGTGATTACCACACATCTGTCAACGGGAAACTACTTTGGAAGTCGGATCTGTTCATATTTTTAATTTAAGCTTTTCCTATGAGAATTTTGGATCCTTTTTTTTTTTAGTTGCAATCTACTAACTGCTACTGCATTTATTTTTTTTTTTTTTTAATTGTACTTCTAAACTTAAATTTAATTCTTCATTTAATGCCTCCCGAGTCCCAACCAATAACTTCTGGTGTGGCATCATGTTTTTAGCTAAGCTTGTACATGTAATGTTTTTTTTTTTAATCAGGTATAAGGTGAGACCTAACAGATCTCGACTGGCCCAAAGTCAGTCCAGATGCATGGCATAGGTCAGGCCTGACTGCTAATCAGGCTCTGACAAAACTCTGTGTCCCAGTGGATTAAACCAAAGCACCAACACATCAACTCTCCAGCTGTTCAGGTTGTTTCCATGGCACTGCAGATTGCTGCTGTTGACATCCAGTGTAACATGCGGTCATTGACTTTCCACGGATGTGAGATAGGTAGTCAGGGTTTGTCCGGTGGAATGTTTTCAGCCAGAGCTTTTTTGTGTTCTTCAGTTCTGATTTGACTTTAATTGTGAGATTTTGTGCAAATCAACACAGAAGTTTCTGCTTTACCAATTTTATTATCTGGGTGCATGTTGGGTAACAGTTGTGTTGGATATAAATACCAGTCATTACAGCACAAGTGTAAAGACGATGTGAAGTCTTGCTGAGGGGAACACATACATATAGTTTGTGCAGCCGTATTTCTTTACAAACACTAAATTTGAACATGCTTCTCTCACTGATCTCAGATCAGAGCACAGTGCAGCCTGACAGGCATTTTGACCACATGGTTTTAGTTTCTTCTCAGCTCTTTTTTGTGCCATTGCGTATTAAATAAAACAAAATATCTTGTGCAATAAATCCTTCTGCCTTTTTTATTCATGTTACTACAACTCCACTAGATATTTTAATGTTTTCGTCCCTGTACAATCTGAAATTAACCCATTATTTCCCACTTTTTCTTGTCACTCTGTCCTCAGTATGCAGTGATAAATGCAAGCATGGCGCCTGCAGCCCTGAGGGCCACTGCTGCCATGACCAGTGCCTGGGTGGCTGTTCGGAGACGGGGAACGCCAGCAGCTGCGTGGCCTGCAGGAACCTCCTGCATGGGAACACCTGTGTGGAGAAATGCCCTTCTGGATTCTATGTCTTCAACGGCTGGCGCTGTGTCAACTTTTCCTTCTGTCAGGTTTGGAATTAGGAAAATTTCTTGCTAAAATTATAATTTCATATTCTGATTTTGATTAAACTCTGAACTGTGTGACACTTTTGAGCTGTTGGTGTATTAGTAGGCAGCCATCGAAGTAATCTCAGTTTGGAGAACCCGAGATTTGTGATGAAAACCACCCTAATTGATGCTTTAATTAAATAAAAGTCATGCTTAATCATCTAAAACAGGGTTGACCAAACCTTTTCATACAGTGTGTGAGCCAAAACTATCCAGACAAAAGGACTTGATGGCCACTAAAATTAGAATTTAAGATGATAAAAATGGTGTACATGTGTTTATTTTTATTTTATGTTGTATTTTTTTCTTAAACTCTCAACAACAACTTGAATAATATTTTGAAGAAAAAACAAAAAACAAAAGCAAGTTTCATGTATCGGCCAATACTTACTTACATGAGAAACCGATTTTACCAATTTTTTGTATTTTTTACAACAATTGTCTGAACTTCATTTATATTTCAGAGCACTACCTCATGGCCATTTAGAACAAGTTTGTATTGTTTCTGGGATATTGTTCAAGGGTATGTTTTTCAATAAAATATGATTGAAAAATTGAAGGTGCATTGTGACCTTATAACACCTGACAGTGTCACTTACAGATCAGACAAAATTGAAATCGGCAGGTCAGACTTTTTAGAAATTGGTGATTGGTGATTGGTGATCACTGATCGGCCAGAAATCTGCAATCATTGCACCCCTAGTTCTAACATGTAGATTCAAATTATTAAAAATCTCATGAACATTAACCTTTTTTTTTTTTTACAAAATTATGTAATTTATTTGATCAGTTAGTTTTGTTGTGATTTTTTTTTTCCTTGCGCTTGGAAAGATCATTTTAATCTAATTTTTAGAAACAAAAGCATAATACAGTATGTAACTGTTCTTTAAACACTGTCACAGGGGTTGATCAGTCTTTCAGACCATGGATGGCACAAAAGAGTGATCAAAGTACTGAAAAATCAAACAACTGCCAGTTACTAAAACAGATTCTTAGAAGGTTTGAACTGACGCTAATAAAAACTGATTAACTTGTAGCTGTATTGATTGTATCACTTTACATTCCTTTAAAAATGTCCAATTTCCTTCTATCAATTATAAAATCAACTATTTATTTTTCTTTTTTAAAAATTGTTATATTTAGTCAAGTTTCATGAACGATTACCCAGAAGTCTTTTTGACTTTTTGTCTTTTTTTACGTCAGTAAAGGTTTGTGGTTGTTTGTAATGAAATG